AAAAAATTATACTGAAAAATTTTTCCATAGAAAAAAATTATACTGAAAATTTTTTCCATAGAAAAAAATTATATTGAAAATATTTTCTATAGAAAAAATTCGTTTTCTATAGTAAGCACTTTCTCTGTAGGAAAAAAATTATTTTGAAAAAAAAAATCAGAAAAAATATTCTGGAATTTTTTCTATAGGAAAAAATTATCCTGACAGTTTTTTCTATAGAAAAAAAAAATATTCTGAAAATTTTTTCTATAGAAAAAATTTGTCGTTTTTGTAGAGTATTTTTTTTTATAAAAAAATTGACCTCCGATTTGAGCTGTATTTTCTTGGTAGTATAAACATTCTGGTCAGCTCCCTCCCCCATTTAAAAAAAATCATAGAGGCAAATAACAAAAAAAAACTACTTCCAATAATTTTACATTTAGCAAAAAGATTTGTAAAAGTTACTACAATTTGCATGTTCGTCATCTCTCATAACCTATCTTTAACCTATCATTTGCCTTTTCTACATTTTAATTTTTTTTTTACATTAAAGTTCACTATTTTTTGTTTTTGTTATTAAATATTAATAATGCTATTACAATGCTGCTGGTTTTCCTTTTCCCCCTTCTCTATTCCCATCTCAATTTCGATTTCATTTTGAAACAAAAAAAAAAAAAATATCCCAACACCATCATCTCCTTTTCCTATGTAATATGTACATATATATATTTTTTTATTATTATAATAATTATATTATTTAACATAAAAAAAGAAAAAGTTTAACAAAAAACAAATCAATATGTTTATAATAATTTAATAGTTTAACGTTGAAAAAACAACTGTGTTATTATTATTTTTTGTTTACCATAATTCTTTATTATTTTTTGCCCTGCATATTTTTTTTTTTAAATTTCTTTTGCTCTCATTTCATTTTTAGTTTTCATTTCTTTAAGCATTTCAAAATAAAATTCGCAACACATTTAACAAAAATGCATAATAAAGAATTAAAGTCTCAACAAAAAATCCATGCAGTGTCATTTAGGGTTCTGTTGGGGTTGATGTGGTGGTGGAGGAGGACTCGGAGTTGATGGATTTCAATTTTTCTGCTTGGAGAATATTTTTACGCAGCTCATACAGTATGAGGGTTAAGGCTGAGGCCACATTTAAACTGTCGAAACCCTCGGCCAGGGGTATGTTAATACATTTCCCGCGAGATCCGACTGTGGACATGAATCTGAAAAAAGGAAAATAAATTAGTATCAGGAAAACGGATTATTTTGTCTTCGGGAGCGGAGTATTTTTTATAAGAAAAATTTTTTCTATGGGTCCGAAGTAATTTTTTCTATAGAAAAAAAATTTACTTCGGATCCATAGTATTTTTTTTCTTTAGAAAAAATTTGTTTTCGGATCCGAAGTATTTTTTTCGATAGGATTTTTTTTCTACGGATGCCAATTATTTTTTTCTATAGAAAAAATTGTCTTCGGATGTGGTCTCAGGACTTGAGGATCCTTTTCCTTTATGGCTCAGGTCCTGAACCGTTTTTTCCGGACGATTTTTTTTCTATAAGAAAAAAAACAATTCCCCCTTTAATCCCCCTACTTCCCCAACTTACCGAAAAGCATCTTGGCTAACACCATGACTCTCGCCACCAATAACCACAACATTATGCCCTCCAATTTGTTGCACTTCCGAATAATCAACAACATCGAAATTATTAGACATCAGCTTTTCCCTATTGTTCTCAGCAATAAATATATGACAATTATCCGCCAGCTCGGGTGGTATCATTAGCGGGACATTTTCCCAACTAACATCATCACGGATGGGTACACGAAAATGACCACCACAACCGCCACGCAACGCCTTCGATTCCCATGGATCGCAGCAACCTTTCGTTATGACAATTTGAAAGCAGGGCAAGGCGGCACAGGTGCGAATAATACTACCCAGGTTATTGGGTTCACGAATATTATCACATACCACGGTCAATGGTAGCGCTGGAGTACTACAATCTCCCGATTTATTTACAATATATTCAAGTGAGGGTCTTTGAAAGAGGGTCATAACACCAGGTGGTGTTGTCAGCGTTGACCAGGTTTTCAAATCATGATGCGGTACTTTGTACACCTTACATTGGGGATTACGCTTTAAGGCCTCTTTTAGTTGTTCCTTGATATCGGCCAATTCTTCCTTTTGACTGAAAATCACCGCATTCAATTTCAATTCACATGCCAAAGCTTCCAAAATCAAACGTCTGCCCTCAATTACAATTTGTCCATCTTTGTCGCGACGTTTTTTGGAGCGTGCCGATATCATCAACGTGGTTAAACGTGGATCATTGAGATCCAATTTTAAATATTGCAAACCCAATTCTGTGTCATCAATTAACCGCGATTTCGATTCACGTTCCAGACGTGACTTTTTCATGTGTTGTTGCACGGCCTTTTGTATAAATTTCGGTCTGGGATTGGTTTCATTTTGATTGCTGGACTGCTGCTGCTGCTCACGTTTTATTAATTTGTGTTTAATATTTTTACGCAGAACTTCTTCAGCTGTTACCGGTTCATATTTTATGGAAGCCTGTTCAAACAGAGAGGCTTCAATTCGCAATGCTTCATCTTCCTCCTGTTTACTTTTGTCGGCATAGTTCTTTGGCTCTTTGTTGGGGCTCTGCTGGGAGCACAGTTGTCTGGTTAATTCATATGTATAACGAATTTGTGTACGATGTGTTAAAGATTTAACGAAATTTGCTAACATTTTAATTCATAAAACGAATTAATTATTTAATAAACAAACAATACTTTCAATCCTAACCTAAAGAACAGAAAAGGCTGTTGGCTGGTGAGTTATGTGACACAGGACGGCGTCAACATTGTAAGTGGTGTGCATGTTTGACGGCGTTAAGTGGCCGTTATATGTAGCTCTCTTGTTTCTCATTTTTTAATTTGTTGTTGTTTATTAGAATATGTACTATTTCAATTGTTATTTTGTTAATGTTTTTTTTTAATTTTTTATTTAATAAAAAATACCTTCAATGTAACCTAACAAACAAAAATTAAAATGGCGCGGCTGGCTGGTGAACTAGTGTAATGTCAAAGCTGACGGCGTTAACATTGTATGTGATGTACCACATCATTTACAATGACGGCGTAAAGTGGCCGTTATATGTGGCTCGCTTATTTTTATTTTATTTGTTGTTGGTTATTAAAATATGTAATATTTTTTATTGTTCTTTTATTACTAGTTTATTTTTATTCATAAAAAGATTTATTTAATAAACCATACATTCAATCTAATATAAAGAACAAATGTTGTGTGAGAGCTGACGGCGTCAACATTGTAAGTGATGTAGTACCAAATTTATTTGCAATAACGGCGTAAAGTAGCCTTTATATATACGTTGTACGCCCTCCGGGATTTTATTTGCCAAACGTTCAACGTCGCCGCTTTTCATTGTGATCTCCCTTAGCTGCTACCGCCGGCAAAAAACAACTGTTATGTGGCGCCTTTCACAAACATATGTTTGATAAAAAGAGTAGTAGCCGATAGAGAGCGCTACATTGTTGTTATTTGTTGTATAATTTCATATTGGTGGAGACCGACCCAAGGAGGATCAAAGAATTTTTCAAAAGGTATTTATTAGCCGCCTAGTGTCCATGGAACAAGTAATATAATTATTATTTTTCGAATTCTCTCAAGATGTTTCGTCAAACTTTAAATGCAACACGCGGTTTGATACGTGGCCGTGCTTTCAACACCTCACCCCAGCTGAAACAGGGCATCAATAATCATGAACCCAATGGTTTGGAAAAACGTTTCTTAGTGTGGACCGGTAAATATAAGAGTGTCGAAGAGGTGCCTAATTTTGTGAGGTAAGTGAAGATTGAATTTTGAACCAAATATAGAACAATTAAATATGATTTTCATTATAGGACAAATGGAAAATTCCATTTTGTTGTGAATTTGAGAATTTCGTGATACAGGTGTAAACTTCGTACATACATCATCTATGTATGTCTGTATATGCGTAGCATAGATATAGGGGTTTTGTTTTGTTTCATGGAATATTCCAAACAATTTGTTGGCTTTGGCTAGCTTAATATTTTGATTAATGTTGAATATGTATGCGCGTGCAGAGATAGCTCCATGAATCACGTATACATATCAGTTAATTGGGCGATGTACATACATAGTATGTGTTGTTGTTATTTTTGGCAATGTGCATTAGATCACACAATCTATAACACTGAGGCTGTAATAGAATAATTGCATCGAGGAGAATAAGCAACAACAAAAAAACCTGTTCGCATTGAAGCTGTAAAGATTGAAAAACAATTGGTGTCTAGATTTGAGTGGTCTTAATCCTGACCAATTGGTTTTTATAAAGACTGATGGTCTCTATAAGGACCAATTGTCCCTATACCGGTCAATTGTCCTTTATAAAGGCCATAGGTCTATATCGCCCAATTGGCCTTTATAAAGACCGTTGGTCTCTATACCGGCCAATTGGCCTTTATAAAGACCTGTGGTCTCTATACCGGCCAATTGACCTTTATAAAAACCGATGGTCCCTATACCGGCCAATTGTCCTTTATAAAGACCTTTGGTCTCTATATCGGCCAATTGACCTTTTTAGAGACGGCTGGTCTCTATACCGGCCAATTGGCCTTTATAAAGACCGATGGTCTCTATACCGGCCAATTGGCCTTTATAAAGACCGATGGTCTCTATACCGGCCAATTGGCCTTTATAAAGACCGATGGTCTCTATACCGGCCAATTGGCCTTTATAAAGACCGATGGTCTCTATATCGGCCAATTGGCCTTTATAAAGACCGATGGTCTCTATATCGTCCAATTGGCCTTTATAAAGACCGATGGTCTCTATACCGGCCAATTGGCCTTTATAAAGACCGATGGTCTCTATACCGGCCAATTGGCCTTTTTAGAGACCTGTGGTCTCTATACCGGCCTGTGGTCTCTATACCGGCCTGTGGTCTCTATACCGGCCAATTGGCCTTTATAAAGACCGGTGGTCTCCGTACATAAAATAGATATTTCATCAGCGGCAGATTCAACATAAATATACGGAGGGTTTACACAACATAAAAAAGAAATTTCATCAGCCGTTTAACATGATCATGAAACTAATAATTAATTCCGCATAAGCAGAAGTCAAAACAACAACAACAACCTTTTCTATGGAAGTGATAAATGAAGAAGATAAAATTAAAAAATTTTCGTAGGTGATCTTAACTTACCATTTCCAGGCAATATTTTTAGACAAGCTTGATAAAGGATTTCTTTAAAGAAATGACGGAATATTGGTCTTCTTCACGGACCAGCCTAAGAATGGTCTTCTTTATAAATCATAGACCAGTTTTCTTAAAAATTTTTTTCTTAAATATTTAAATTTTTTATTCACTGCATTCCCATATTAATTATTCTCCCCCCTTTCATTGTTCAGTCGCGATGTCATGGAACGTTGCCGCAACACCATACGCATTCGTTTGGCCAATATTATGATGGCTCTCACTGTGGTCGGTTGTGGCATAATGGTCTACAGTGGCAAGGAAGCAGCTAAACGCGGTGAATCCGTAACGAAACAAAATCTCGATTGGCACAAACAATATAATGAGAAATATTCCAAGGAAGGCGCTGCCAAGGAATAAAAGAGGAGAATGCGGAAAAAATTTCACACAGTGATTTTTGCTAAAAGCATGAAGGAATAGAGATCATTTATTAGTGTCTCACTTTTTTACATATAGATGATACTCCCACTCATTGTATATAATACAAATGCGATAATTATATTTTTTTGTCTATAAAGTAAAAAAAAAAGTAACTAAGATATTTAAAAAAAATGAATAAATATATGTTGAAAACAAAAAAGTGCTTTAAAAATATGAAAGAAATTTAAATACAAAACTTTGATGTTGTATAAATGTGTAAAATTTAATTATTTAATTTTTTTGTGGTTTAAAAATGGAAATATTTTTTTACTTGGATATTCAAGAGGTTCTCGGCTGGAAAGGCTTCATAAATACCACCTTTAAGGATTTTTTCAAAGTTGTTTAAACTATATTTTATAAAACATATATATTCAGTACAATCGTCAAAAATAATTCCGTGCGGAATTTCTTCCCTCTCCCTTTTCCGCAATCGTAAAGAAAATTCCGCGCGGAACTTCCTTTTTTACATCTCATATTTAAATTCAGTTTTTATGCAACAGTGTAAGATAGGAGTTAAAGGGAGAAAGGAGAGAGAGTAGCCACCATAAGAAAGTTCGATTTGTGTTTTTCCTCTCAAAATATCTCACAAACAAAATCGAAGAGAGATAAAAAATGTAAGTATGGCTTTTCAAATATAAATCGAAATTGAAATAAATAAATTAATTCTTTGTAGGTCGAAGACAAATAAAATCCAACCCAATTACATCCTGACATTTCACGTGGAATCTATAAAGGGAGCAAGGAGTCTCTTATTCGGTTTTGGAAGTAAAAACGGAAAATGAACTCAATTCGATGGGACTACCAAATAAGGGCATCGCCGAGTGGAAAAACGTTTAGTACTAAATTTATACCATTCATTTGAATTGAATCCATTCATTCTTCAAAACTACTTAAAATAGTTTTGGGCTGACCAAAAAAAATATGTAAGGCAGAATTTAAAATACAAAACAGCAACACTTTTATCCACTTAGGACAAAGGTGAGCTTCGAAAACAGTCACCACCTCGGAGATGATAGAACTAAATCAAAATTAAATTGAGAGCAAGTGTGTGCGAGCGTAACTGAGAATTCCCCATTAACAACGACTGACATAAAGAGAGAAAAAGAGAACACGTGTTTACCCATCGACCCTCAGTTACGGTAGCGTATATGGGTAAGCATGCCTGAACTAAATGTTGATTGTGCCATACCAACATCAGAATCCTTTCCAACGGCAATTTGATATCCACGTGGCACTCAACTTGGTAATCGTTGGAATTCCAGTCTTGTTTTTCCTTCTTGGAGTATGTTGCGCCAAAACTTCCAACAAGTATTGGAATTTTTCAAGGGCCAACTGAGGCGTGGATTTATTAAAGAATATTTTTCAAGGGCCAACTGAGGCGTGGATTTATTAAAGAATATTTTTCAATGGCCAACTGAGGCGTGGATTTATTAAAGAATATTTTTCAAGGGCCAACTGAGGCGTGGATTTATTAAAGAATATTTTTCAATGGCCAACTGAGGCGACTGAGGCGTGGATTTATTAAAGAATATTTTTCAAGGGCCAACTGAGGCGTGGATTTATTAAAGAATATTTTTCAAGGGCCAACTGAGGCGTGGATTTATTAAAGAATATTTTTCAAGGGCCAACTGAGGCGTGGATTTATTAAAGAATATTTTTCAAGGGCCAACTGAGGCGTGGATTTATTAAAGAATATTTTTCAAGGGCCAACTGAGGCGTGGGAATATTTATTAAAGAATATTTTTCAAGGGCCAACTGAGGCGTGGATTTATTAAAGAATATTTTTCAAGGGCCAACTGAGGCGTGGATTTATTAAAGAATATTTTTCAAGGGCCAACTGAGGCGTGGATTTATTAAAGAATATTTTTCAAGGGCCAACTGAGGCGTGGATTTATTAAAGAATATTTTTCAAGGGCCAACTGAGGCGTGGATTTATTAAAGAATATTTTTCAAGGGCCAACTGAGGCGTGGATTTTTAAAGAATATTTTTCAAGGGCCAACTGAGGCGTGGATTTATTAAAGAATATTTTTCAAGGGCCAACTGAGGCGTGGATTTATTAAAGAATATTTTTCAAGGGCCAACTGAGGCGTGGATTTATTAAAGAATATTTTTCAAGGGCCAACTGAGGCGTGGATTTATTAAAGAATATTTTTCAAGGGCCAACTGAGGCGTGGATTTATTAAAGAATATTTTTCAAGGGCCAACTGAGCGTGCAACACAAACACTTTAAATTTGCGCAAAAAAAAAATAAGGATATACAAAGTATGAAAAAGACCCACAGTTGATTAAAAAGAGATGCCATATTCCTAAAATTGTACTATATTTTCTATGATTGGAGGATTTTTCTCTCGGGAGAAGTGGTCTATTGAAGTCATGAGGAGACACCGCGTTGCAGTCCTCAGGGCGGCATTCTGGCAGGATTGAAGACTTTTCCACTGCGTTGCACTGACGTTAGCGGACCACACTAGCGCCGCATAGTTTACCACAGATCGGCCTATTGCTGTATAAGTCGTTAACAAGATTTCCTTGTCAGCTTCCCAAGTGCTGCCGGCTGCCGACTAGCGACTTGAGAACCTTGTTTCTGCTCCTGACTTTATCGCAAATAGCTGTGGCATGCGCGGACGACTTGTAGAGACTATCGAATGTGACCCCTAGAATCTTGGGGTAATTAGTGGTCGGAATTGTGGACCCCTCGACCTGCACATTCAAAGATATATATTTTCGTATATAACGGAGTGTACCAGAGGGATATCAATTTGAATATTGCGTGTCGAGTTAATGAAAGTGAATTGATTAACCGGAACAGTGGGGCTGGATGTTTTCATAATTTTACAAAAATGAAGAACCAAACGGAGATTAATATAATCACGAAAAGAACCCAACCCAAAAATTTATGCGCATATTGCAATACACGGTAGTGGGGTCATACAATTTTATATCAAACACATAGCGTATAATTTTTATGAATAAGACCATGTTCCGGAAAAAATTTCAATCCCATAGTTTAGAAGGGACATTAACAAGGACTGCGCCAAATGAGAACGTACATGTTTTGGAGTATAAGCCTTCAATGAGTATAGCTTTCTTAAAATGAAGCAAACCATATTACCGAGGAGATTAGTATGATCAATTGATGACAAGGGAACGTACGATTTCTAAGATGGAAAGTAATAGCCTGACATATTTAAAAATATATATTATTCCAATATTTTAACTATTTTGCTATATTTTTTCTAAATCATTTTTTTAATGGTCTATATAAAAAAATAATATTTTTTTTGATTTATTATCAACATTTCTATTCTATTTGTTTCTAACCAAAAAAATAAAGACTAATTATTGTTGTCATGTTTGTTTCTTAAGTCTTTCCATTTGACATTTAATTGTCGAAGAGAATATAAATTGGAAATTGACAGATTTTATAAAGTTTGTGTCTTAAGTCTTTCATGGCAACTGGCAAGAAAGTAACAAAAATAATTGTCTCTGCTTTATATTTAAATGGTGATGTTCACGGAGCGAACATGGTTTTTAAATGATAAAGATAGTGAATGTCTTGCTGTGGGTCTCTTGTGTAGAAGAGAGAATATTTAGTTAAACAGGGATCTATTTTTGTATACAGTCCACTTAAGATAAGAGATTATTTTGGTAAAATGTTTGTACACATTAATAAGATAGGAGTTTTCTATTGCCACATGTGGTATGTTTGGGTGAGATTACGGGGAGTAATCTTCACTACAGACTGATAAGCATGTGTAGCGTGCTTGTCACATGTGAGATAAAGAATTGAGTGTGTCTACTCCATGTGTTATGGCAGATGCACTCTCTCTCTCTCTTACACATTAGTCTAAGATAGGTTAAGAAGAATTTGCCTTAAAGGTCAAGGAAATTCTCTCAGCTAGGAAATCCAAATAGAAAAAAATAATAATAGAAAAACAAAATGCTGAGTCAAAAGGAGACTGCGGCAAGGAACAATGCGGTGAATGCGAGGCATCATTCCCGTAGCAGAGAAGAAGAAGGAGATGCAGTGGAAGTACGAGACAGTACATTACAAACCTTCAAAATGCTGAGTCCAAAGGAGGCTGCGGCAAGGAACAAGGCGGTGAATGCAGCGGCCGAAGAGGAGAGAAGGCTTTCAAACTTTGTATGGTTTAAGATCCACACATTTGAAAGAAGTCTCAAGGAAATGAGATTAGAAATTAATATGGATTTATTGGAGTGTTTGGTGGACGACTGGGACAAGCAAAGTGAAATTCTAGAAGGCGCTTGGCTTCATGTTTGGATGTACTATCCGGAGAAAAGAGATATTCTGGAAAAAATTAAAGAACTGAATAAACGATATGAAATAGCCAGAGAGGAGCTATTTCAAAGGATGCGGAAGAGATTGCTAGAAGATGTCAAGCCTGAGAAGTATGAGCCGCCAGTTGATAATTATGTTGCGGAGATGAAGATAAAGCAGGCGGACAATGACGATGAATTGACGACACAAGGTGATTGGGTATGTAAGCAAAGACCGTTAGTTGCAGATATCCCTGCCAGGAAGATTGTGGATATAAATCCTGAAGCTGCGGCCGGGAAAATGAAGGCCGAGGACAAATGGAACGTTCATCGTAAGAAGGAAGTGGTGGTTATGACGAAGATTGTCGATGATACCGCCAATAAGACGAAGATAGCAGCCGAAGATTCGGAGCCGCCAAGAAAAAGCGGTTACATTGCTAATAGGAAGAGGTTTGTGTCTGTGCCGCCCTGGAAGATAATGAAGACGGTCAACCGGAGCGAGCAGTTGATGGAAGATGTGGCCGGTAGGAAGATGAAGCCGGCGGAAAATGTCACTGAACCCACAACAAAATGTGATAGTGGTAATAAGCAGAAACCGCTAGTTACGGATGTTCCGGCCAGGAATATTGTCGGTATAAATCGTGGAAAGGCGGCCGGGAAGTTG